TGTACTCTGCGCCAGCAGGCACCGCCCATCGACGATCCAGCAATTCTGATGATCTTCCCGAGATCCAGCATTTGGGAGTGGAGCGAGTGAGGCCACAGCTGGACAAACCGGCCGACAACAAGGCTTGCTGGAGACTTGACCAGTGTTGATCAACATCCAGAGTGTGAGAGAGAGGGAGCTTTTGGCAAAGTTTTGTTGATAATCTCTCTTCACCATTGGGTCCTCCAACTTGTAGGCGTTCAGTCGGGTGTGTTTTGACCTAGGCGAACCACCAAAACGCATGCAAACGGTCGCACACACCAGTGCATGATCGGTGTCGACGCATGTTGACCAAAATGATCGGCAGTCGCGTACACTGCCGCGCCACCTGCGACTTATAGCTATGTGGACAATCTGTGACCAGCGCTGGGTTGATGATGGGGGGCGCCAAGTGGCGTACTGGCGTCCAGGATGCCGAAAGCTGGTGCTGGAGAGGAATAGTTGATGATCAGCACAAAGACTGAGCAGTCTCTCTCCATTGTCTGAGCGAACATCATCATATCCATGCGGTCCTCCGAGGTGGCGCTCACATGGCAGCAGACGACCGACACGCGCGTTGAAGTCACCTGCCAAAACAATGATGTCTGTTTTAGGAGCCCTTAGGAGCAGCTCATGAAGGTTCTGGTGGAACTGGTCTTTGACAATGTCTGAGCTACAGTCAGTGGGCGCGTAGGCTGCCGCGCGACGAACAACAGTGGCGCTTAGGTCGCCCGGTCCCTTAGTAGATCTAACCCGCGTCCTCCGGATTACAGGAGAGGCTTGTGATCCCTTAGGTGACAGGCCACAATTTTTACTGGGACATCGGTTCAAGTGGAGCTAGATCTCGGTCATTCCGAGAAATAAGATTGTGTCCGAGTTTCCAATGCTGTTCGGTTACTACATTGCAACCCATAATTAGCAGACAGAACCAAACGGACTTCAGATGGCTCATCATTTCCAGAAATGACGGAAAACGGAATGTCATCATATATCTACCATTCTTGGTGTTAAAGAACAAAACCACACACACACACACACCCTCTTACTTCAGAGATTCGAACTGTGGCTTAGTGAATTTTCAATATTTCTGACATAAGTGATCTGTACAGTCCATTGAGTTTGCAGCAGTATGGAATTGTAAATCACAACGCTGTTGCGCGCTTCTTTTTTGATGCTGCTTCTTAAACACTGGGTCGTTTTGCTTGTTAATGGCACATTTGCCGTCAGCACGACCGCTGTGTATATTACGATCTGTCCCAATTCGGTAACAGTCTCCCAGTTTATTGAGAAATAAAAGTAATATTATCCTTTGCATTTAATATTTGTATTGCTGACGATTCCCGAAACGATGAAATGGTCGTACAATGCTTTTCGGGGCATGTGATGTTACGCAACTTTTCCTATTACTCCAGGGAGAGGTAGTGGTTGATGCGCTGATCGTTAGACCAGTAAAGGGATGCTGAGTCAACGACCAAGAGTAAGAACGTCATAGTGATTCGGCCGCCTAGCGGTGCTAAATGCTTCCAACATTCTGTCACCAGTGGGATTTTCTTCTGATACCGAATCTTTGCCAATCTCTAACTGTATGATGCACCATTAAGAGACCACTATCCATGAGCAGCAATGTGGTGCCAGAATCATGAGTGCCGTACCACCGCGCACATGACGAGTCGATTATTCCCCACAAGGCTGTTGTGACCAGCTGTAAGGCGCATCCACATTTCTGTCCGACGACGACCTCGTGACGCAACAATGTAGAAGCAGGATGCGAGATACGGAGTCTAAGCGGCGGCGCAAGAACTACGTGACGTAACCAATTGGAAATATAGCGGATACGCATGAGTAGGTGACCAAGCATGACCAACTTGAAAGGTTTTAACAGAAGGTTAATTAGTGTGAGAATGTCTACAGAGTGGACCGAGGTTCACCGTGTACATTGATCGGTCCCAAGGTCAATAATGAATCCAACCCTGTCCGTAGAAACAGTGGTGGCCAAGTATCGGTGGGTGATGCTGGCGTAACGCGATAACCGGACGTCTGAACAAAAATCGTAAATTGTGTTGCGACAACTGATGAGCTGCATCTGGGCGGCCAACATGGTGTAGGCTCCCGTAATGATAACTGTGAGCGGTTACTTCATTTGTGTGAAGATGCTCGCTTATTTCTTGCGAGCACTAATTTCCGACACAACACAGGCCGGAGGGTGACTTGGCGCCCACCAGCCTCGAACCAGCCTTGGACGCAGATCGATCACATTGTGACAAGTTACCGCTGGAGAGGCTACATGCAGAATTGTCGCTCGATTTGGAGCACATTTGTGGACACCGATCATGCACTCGTATGTGCTGACCTGCGGATGCGATATGGCGGACGCCAAGATGACGTTATGACCGCATTGACACCAGCCAACTGGCGAAGCCAGCTGTTCTGAATGCCTATCAAAGTATGCTGTCACGCGAGTTGGATAAACGCTCGCTGGATACAATTGAAGCCCACTGGTCTCATATTCACCAGACCTTAATAGCAGCAGGAAAATCCTCATGTGGTATAGCTAATCGCCAACATGGACATTGGATCCATTCGCAGTCTCTGAAACTTATCGATGCTCACCGGCATATTCTGGATGGAAGCGAACACAATGAAACTCGCAAAGAGCTTCGGGCAAAACTCCGTGCTAGCCGGAAGAGAGACCGCGAATCCTGGTGGTCTCATCGTGCAACAGAGATGGAAATGGCCGTTACCCTTGGTAACCATCGTAAGTTATTCCGTCTGGTACGGGAAACGGGCAGCAGGAGACTTGGTGTTAGAGAAACTATACGTGACCAGAGTGGACAGCCTATCCATAACTTGTCAAAACGCTTAGAGCGTTGGGCTGAGCACTTTAAAAGGCAATTTAATCGGTCGGAATGGTTAGATTTCTCGCCGGCCACTGATCGCCCCGCACCCTGGGCTGTCCCTTTGGATGCACCCTCTCGCTCAGAAGTCGAAGCTGAAATGGAACTGTGGAGGTTAAATAAAGCCGCGGGACCAAATGATCTTAATCTAGCCCTCTTCAAATTCGGGGGACCTGCTCTTGTGGACGATTTACACGAGTTACTAATCAAACTGTGGGAGCAGGAAACTGTCCCAACCGACTGAAGCCGCTCCGTCACAGTCCCAATTTTCAAGGGAGGCTCACGATCGGTATGCGGAAGCCATAGAGGAATCAGTCTGATCTCCATCGCCTCCAAATTGCTCGCCTCTGTCATCCTTCACAGACTGACTGGCACTCGTGAAAGCCAGATTCGTGAAGAGCAAGCCGGATTTCGTCGAGGTCGTGGATGCACTGACCACATCTTCACCTTGCGTCGGTTGTTGGAACACCGACACATATATTGGCGGCCCACCGTAGTCGTGCTCCTCGATATCAAAGGTGCATTCGATTCGATGGATAGACATGCACTTTTGGACTGTCTACTCAGGAAAGGTGTACCTGAAAAATATGTAAATATTATCCCAGCATTATATGCGCGTAGCTCGGGCAGAGTGAGGATTTACGGCAAGCTGTCGTCGCCCGTTAATATCTCCAGCGGCGTGAGACAAGGGTGCCCGCTGTTACCTTTCCTCTTCAACTTCGTGTTGACGAAGTCATGGATATCGCGTTCACAGGACACGACTTAGAAGGTGTGGAGCTACTCCCAGGAGAACGACTTCTTGATTTAGAGTATGCTGATGATATTGCCCTACTCTGTGACAGCTCACAAACGTGCCAAGCGGCACTGGACAGATTATCACTAGCTGTCCGTCACTTCGGGCTTTGCTTCGCACCCTCGAAGTGCAAAGCGTTCCTCCAAGATTGGTCTGGACCGCCTCCTACGCTGACCCTTGGTGGGGATCAGCTAAAAGTCGTACAAAAATTCAACTACCTGGGAAGTTTTATCAGCGCCAGTGAGATTGAAGATGAGATTATGAACCGTATATCAAAAACTCGAGGCGCTTTTGCTAACCTTCGGCACTTATGGCGTCGGCGCGACATTACTCTTGCTCTGAAGGGTAGAGTGTAAAATGCAGCGGTACGTTCGACCCTACTGTACGGTTGTGAAACCTGGCCCCTTAAAGCAGCGGACCTGAAGAGGTTAGTTACGTTCGACCACCGGTGCCTTCGCAAGTTAGGTCACATCTAGTGGGAACACCGCGTGAGCAACGGGCGTGTCCGACGCCTTGTTTACGGCATATGAGTAGGAAATGAACCGCTAAGCACCGTCATTTTACGCACCAGGCTCCGATGACTCGACCACGTGTTACACATGGCAGCCCACCGACTCACGCGACGTGCGTTGTTTGCGCGCCGGGGGGTGTGGAAGGAAGAAGAAGAGGGGTGGCCAAGCGATGACTTGGTCCAGAGGAATGAAGGCCCTCACTTCTGAACTGGCCTCGGTTGGAGCGTCTCGGCTCCCTGGTTGGGGTCCGAAAGATGATGAACACGTTTGGCAGGATACACTTGCTGATATGGCTAGGAGCCGACCTCGGTGGCGTTCGTGCGGTGAGTTTCTTTGTCCCACCCCATCCCTCTTAGCATCCCCCTCCAACCACGATCTCACTATTTAGCCTTATATAATTACGCATAGTAATTTTTTTGACGCACATTAGCCGGCTGGTAGCTTGTCGGAACGATGCCCATCCGTTACCGGTAGCTCAGCCGGCTTGCACCGGTTGCATTTTTTCTCTCCTTTTTTCTTCTATGTATTGAGGCACAATAGCTGAGTTGTTTCCTACCTCAAGCTAACGTGTATAATGATGATGAACTAGCGGACTACGACGAGCCCAAAGCACTGCCAGATACGCAAAGTCACTACACTAAAACGGTGGGCTGTCAACCAAGCGATAGGGTTGTGGATCAGGACCATTCTACGGAAAAGCAATATGTAATACCGGTAAGGTAAAGTGGATTAGGCAGTGTTCTCAGATGCAGAAGTTATTAGTGCAGCGCGCGACCAACTCACCTGATATCACGCGCGCCGGTTTGTTCCACAAGCAAGCGTAAGCCAAAGAAAGATGAAGTTGGAGTGGCTGTGTTTGAATCGACCAATTGCGCCTCACCCTCCCAAAGGAGAGAACGGCTGATGGAGAGCTGTTCTAGCGGAGATGATTGCTGGCGCTTGGCAGGTGGGCCAGAGACACCTAACATTGGGGGCACAGTATCGACGCTGGAAAAAAAACGAGCAGCGATAAGGCGGAGCAATGATGAGGGTGGACGAGAAAACAAGACATGCCTGTCGAATGGACGTGGACAGGTAAAGATGTACCAGCATCATGAAGCGGGTAACAGCATGGGGGAGGGGAACGTGAATCAGCCTCGCAGTATGCACCACAGGTGCTACAAGAACAGACACTGGGTGGCCGATGATGGAATAGCGCACTTTGGATGTCTGTGAACCCCGAAACGGAGTGAAAACAAACACAGGCGGATAAGCGCACTAAAAAAGGGACGACGGTCAGAGCACGCGCGCGCGCGATGCAAATGAGTTGTGTCTGTGGTTCCGGAACAGCTTGATTAAGGGATACAGTGGATACAGTGGTTGAACGCTGGCGTGTTGAATTGATAGACATAAGATGAAGTCTGGAGAACACTGAAAACATTTGGCTATACCAGACTAGCCAAGTACCAACGAACTCAGGGGTCTAACAAAAACGGATTGATGGATCAGACGCGCGATTAACACCCATAAATGCAATTTAGTAATCGCAGTCTAAGCGAGCAAGGGACATTTATTGTTGATCACACTCGGGTATGGGACAAGGTTGAAGGGCGCCAAATGGTATTTAGTGGAGGAGATAAAAAGAAAAGCGTCAGCATTTGGCAATGATCGTGTGGCGACATTGTAAAGGAAATCATAAAAATAACCAAAAGATTTAATTAACGATGTCAATACATAGGGAGTCCTCATTTTGAATAGCGGCGTTAGTATCGGCATCATCAGTAACACTGCGCAACACCACTTTTATAACATAAATGATATAGGATGTTTCTAGTAGTACTAAGAGAGCTGATTACGAATAGGCAAACCAAATGTTTCTATTACGTTTATCATACATCGAACGCTCGCCTGTGATTGGCCCATTGGCTCCCAGTAATCGTAGAAAAGAAGTACTCTGGGTCATGCTATCCAACTGACACTGGAAGTCAATTGATAACTGTATTTCCTTAATTAAGATGTCGATCGTGGCTGAAAGACGCTGCTGTGTCAATGACCGCAGTCATTTTTGCTACGTCTGTAGACAGTTTATCGCAAAGTCGTAGTGCAAACCCATTTCTTCATCACTGAAGTCTGCCTACCACGCATAATCGGGATAAAACTGGATCAGGATAAGAAGTGGGTGCCGCATATTGTGGACGTGTCGTGCAATCTTCATCCGACTCAGTGGCACAAGGGCAAAAGCAAGATGCCCTATGAAATCCCCACGGTGTGGAGGGACCCGAAGGGTCAAACGACAGACTGTTAATTCTATCTAACCAGTGTTATTGGAATCTCCAACCGATACAAGGACAAAATTCATTACCCCGATCTTCCATCAGCTATTCGACTTGTTCCTCATGAGTGTACCATAAACATTTCAGTGCCTCCAGTGAACATGGCACTGATGATGAGTAGTGATTCCGCATCGTCAACTTCCACTGATTCTGACAACCGGGAAAACTTCGAAGCTGATGTTGTCAACACACATTTTATTGAACAATCAGAGCTGAATGACTTGGTACGTGACCTGGGCTTGCCTTAAGACAAAGCCGAGCTGCAGGCATCTTAGCTGTAGCAGTGGCACCTACTTGCTGCAGCAGACGCGCCACTTGTGTCGGTTGCGATCCATGTCCTGTAAAGTCTCGAGCCAAGCACAAGGCGAGACACATGGACTCCAACCCGGAAGGCGAGACGGACCAACGGCAAACAGTTTGGTCACCAGTGACATCATATCCCACTGCCAAGTCAACTTCTGGTCGCCTCGAGCTTTGCGCCACCCTACACCTGGCAGACTAAACAAGGCAAACCTAGGTAAGCGGTGACCAGGCATACGTACCACGTGCCCGAGCAAACGCAACTTATTCAGTGCTATCCGTTGTTCTAGGGAGCTAGCATGATTATCACCACCTAGTAATCGCCTACGCACATCCTCATTGAGGACACGCTGGTGCCATCCGACTCCAGCAATGCTTCGCAAACAACGATGATCAAAGACTTGAAGGCGCCTCAGATCTTCAGACCGAAGGGGCCAAGTTTCACTACCATATAGCAGAACGGCCCTTATTGTGGCCTTGTATACACGGCCTTTCAGACGGAGGGAAACTCCCTTCTGTCACCAATAATACCGCAGATTCAAGAAGGCAGCTCTGGCCTTTGCGATACGTGAGCTGACGTCAGGTTTTATGCGCCCATCGTTGCTGATGCAGCTGCTAAGATAAGTGAATCGATCAACCACCTCGAGTTCCTCGTTAGCAAGGGACAAGTGGTCATCAAGTGGCTGGTGGTCCTGCAGCAACACTTTGCACTTTGAAGGTGCAAAGCGCATACCAAATAATGGGACCACTCTAGAGAGACTATTTCGAATTGATACTGTCACCTCAACAAGCCAAAACGCAAGACGACGATATCGTCCGCGCAATCAAGATAAAGTAACCTTACGCCAGGCAGGATCCCGACGCTTACATCGCGCGATTCCGAAAGGGAACACTCCAAGATAGAGTCCACGACAAAATTGAACAAAAATGGGGAAATCGAACAATCTTGACGAACGCCACTTGTTGTCGGAAAGCTACCGACAGGTCATCGTAGACCCTGGCGCGGCCTGTAGTGTTCGAGTACAGAGCACGAAGGATGTTCATATATTTCGTGGGAACACTTTTCCGCGCAAGCATTTCGGACAGAATCGATCGATCGACTGAATCGAAGGCACTCTTGAAATTGAGGAACACAGTTATCGTCGGTCTGCGGTATGCGTGGCGCTGCTCTAGCACCTGCCGCAGAGTGAATATATGGTCTATAAAGCCACATCCTGGGTGAAAAGCTGGCGGCTATTATTTAATCCGAGACTCTCGTTCCACAGTGGGGCAATGAATGAGAATCGAGGCTAGTAATTTTGTCACAACTGGCGTTAGGCTAATACCCCTGTGGTTAGAACAGTCTATGCAACTGACCTTGTATATGGCCACTATAATCGATTTGCTGCAATTAGCGTGGACATTCCCTTCCTTCCAGATCCGTTCGAATAGGGAGGTCAGTGCATTGCAGAGGACCACACCTCCATCCTTAAATAGTGCAGGTGGAAGGGAATCTGGGCCAGCGGCACGAAAACAATTAAGGGTTATGATCGCGTTTCGGGATCAGGGGGCCAACTGAACTGATCTTAGAAGTATTCCGCCCAACGAGCCATACGGCGCTCCTAATTGTGTGTCAGTGCACCCTCGCTGTCTCTGATTGTCTCACTAACGCCTGCATTCCTGGGAGCAGTGGTACGGATTAGCTGGAAGAGTTTGCGGTAACTGCCTAGTGCTCCTGCCTCCAATTTTTGAACCCGACTAGTCCACCAGGCTTCCAACTCAGCATGCAGACTCCGCTTCAGATCGCGCCAAATGGTCCGTCTGGTCACATTGTGTTCAGAGCCAGTCGAGAGGTTTCTTCTAGATTCCAACAGGTTCACCGACCTCTCAGATATCCAGTGACTGGTGCGTTGACGACTGATAGTGCCACAAGCGGATGCTCCTACTTCATGCATGGCGGCCAAGATCCTACTCCAGTGAAGCTCAGTGGTATTAGGACAAGACAGCGAAAGTTCGGCATGCAGTGCATCTTGATAGACTTGCCTGACTGAGAGCGGAGACAATTTCTCAGTTGCCAAACGGTGGTGACGCTTGGTGCGCCTCCCGTTCCAGTCCATGAAAAAACGATAGCGTACCAAGGCATAATCAGAATTGACGCAGGTATTCCAGTACGAGAAGCAATCCAGAATGGAACCACGTCACCTGTAACTTATGTGGTCAATTTGGCCAGCTACACGAGGACGCCAAGTGGCACTTCGGCGCCCACTGTGTCTAAAAGCAGTGCTACTAAGAAACAACTGGTGCTCCGCACACAGTTGCAGCAGACGCTCGTCATTGTCAGTCCGTTCGGCGTTAAGTCCATACTTACCACCCAGCTGAGCTTCTGAAGAGCTCAGACGCCCTACTTGTGTGTTCATATCCCCTGCAAGTACTATAGTATCTGAACTAGTAGCACTGCGTAGCAGCGTGTTCAGTTCGTGATAGAAAGTGTCCTTGACTGCATTAGAACTGCAGTCGGTGGGAGCATAAGTGGAAATCACAAAGAGCGTCTAGTACTACTTCGTGAATCAACCTTAGCTGAAGTCGTCAAACGGGCTGCACCTAAACGGCTGTTCACTGGAATCCAATCAACCAGCGATGGCTCAGCCTTGGAGCTGAGAATCATACCTACCCCAGCTTGACCCGTGAGTGCCGCATCGGCGTCTCCGGATGTGTGCAACCAATAGCGAGAGGACAAGCCGGGTGCCGTTAATTCAATAACCCCTTTAAGGTTGTTGATCCTTGTTTCGGACACACAACACACGTCAATACCCAACGTGTGCAAGGTGCGTACGAGTGCAACCTTTTGACCTATTTGTCTTAAAGTGCGAACGTTAAACGCCGCCATGGAAACTGGGCAGCGTGACTTTATAAGGGACTGTTGCCGAAAGGCGCCCGACGGGTGTCGTGGGAAGATGGCTGCAGATGGTTCTACTCCAGTGCCACTTCAGTTGCTGTCAATTAAGCTGGGAATTACAGAAAGAAGGTTAGTAATTGGGGTCCGCTTGGGAGAATGAAAAACAGGTGCAAGAGAAATGTGGGAGGCGTCAGCAGTAGCATGTTTTCACTTTTGCGCCCTGCTTTATACAGCAAATAAGGCGACCCTTGATAATCTGCGCGACGGCCGATGCAAGGTGTAGTCAGAGTTTTGGGGAAATTGTCATGGTTATATGTGGGCTGAGATACTGCCAGAACTCCCTAACCTAGATAGGATGACGATTAGGGTTCTCAACCAAAGCCTTTGGCTCAAAAGCGTGCCCGCAAGGCAGCGGGGTGGCAATGATTTACTTTTAAAGAAATGCACGCTATCCCATTTCAAACCCGTAACCTGGAGGAGCAGGAGACTGAGTTTGCCTGACCTCTCACCGTTGACCAACCTGGTAGGAGTAGCTGTCAAAGGGCCAGGAGGCACCAAGGTGGTAAGCAAAACGTCGCACCACGTTAAGGTCCATTCTCGTTGCGACGGCCCATGCACATCAAGCTTGGTTTGAGTAAAAGCTTTGTCAAAGCCATCAAGCGAGATGGTTATTGGTTCCAGCACATAAAACAAGTGTTACCGAATATCAGTGAGGCGAAGCTCAAAGAAGGGATCCTTATTGGGCCTGATATTCGCCGGATAATGGCAGACAGTGTTTTCGAATGCCAGTTGAATTCATTTGAGTTAGAAGCGTGGCGACCATGCAAGGCAGTGTGTACAGGATATTTTGGCAGAACAAAGGCAGTGAACTACAAGGATATCACGAAACGCTAATTACGGACTATCGGACTGTTGGTGTTCGGATGTCACTCAAGATTTACTTATTGCATAATCACCTGGACATTTTCCCTGAGAACTTGGGATCTGTTAGCAATAAGCATCGTGAGCTCTTTCACCAAGACATTTCAGTCATGAAGCAGCGCTACAGTGGCAAGTACACGCTCCTTCTATGATGAGTGACATTTGCTGGTTTCTGCGGCGTGACGGCGCTGTATCATACAAGCGACGATCTCGGCGAAACGATCATTTCTCAGTGCCAAGCTGCAGTCAATAGTTAACGGCGAGTGTTGCAGATATGTTTTAAACGTGTTTGCCACATAGATGCATACTGTACAGTTATATATAATTCGTAGGATCTAGACTGGACATTGCTGAAAATAATCTATAGCTTAAAACAATGTAACCTGACGTGCTAGGTAACATCGGAATACATTTATACAATCAGTGGATTGTATTCTATAAGGCAGGGACATTGGCATTTCTGTTAGAGGGAATGGTTTTGTTGCAAAATGTAATTTGACGTCCAATCCAACATGGTATAGGACGGGAAGGTCATGGAGTACAAGACCAAGATTAGCATAGCTAAGTTAACATCTGTGCAATAATTCTATAAAGCTGGCCAGGACGTTTGCATGGATGGTCGCTTCACACCCTCTGGAAGCGATGTTCTGCCCTGCGTGATCGGCTGTCCGAGGTACCATGAGGAATCAATTGGTTTTCGGTTAGACCGGATTAAAATGCGAGCTCTGCTTGATGGCATTGCGCACAATTCGGCATGTGAATCCGCACAGGGCAAAGTACTGTTACATGAATGGCTCGAAGCACTGCCGCAATCCACGACGACTAAACCATCTGCAGTGTTCGATCCGTTTACTCATCGGGAGCGCTGGCTGGTCAATAACCGAAAAAGTAGCTGTACGCATAGTTGTTAGACTCTGATATATTTCAAAACTCTTACTCGATAATGCAAACAATGGGTTTGCCAGTTGAAGGGGTGGGTGCAGTGTGACTTGAAGAAACTTGTTCTGACTTCTCAGTAATGTCTGCGGCGCATGGTAATAACATCGCAATGGCATCATATGAGTTAGTGGAATCTTATAAACATTACAACAGTTCCGACTCTCTTATTTGGGATGGAAGAAAGGCTTTTCATCGATAGTAGCCCACGTGCAGAGTAGTCAATTGAGTTCGGATTGGTAGGGGTTAAGAAATCTGGCCATTAAATGAGTGTCTGTACACTCGTGTTGAAACTAGGGCGAAACACGTAACCTCAGACAGCTGCATTGGAGACAGACAGGCAACCCACCGACAGAGATGAGACCAGTAGGAGAAAAAAGGCCGCATCAAATACGTACCGCCTAGCAGAAGCGTCATGCATCTTCAAGTTTACGTTGGAGACATCTCGATGCATAGTAACCGGCCCGTTAGCCATGGATCCGCCGAAACCATGTGTACAGGGTCTACAGCCACCAGGCATGGTGTGGTCGGGTGAGACGTATCCGGACGAATTCAATGCTCCACTCGGGCGACATAGCTGCGGATCGTAAGCAGAACTTGCCGGATTCCCGGGACCGGAAAAATGAGACGGCATGCCGCCTCCAGTAGTGTTCCAAGAAACAGGACCAGTGGTGTTGGAATGATGGTTCTCTTTCGCAGCGTAGGGATTGGAAACGGACAAGGAGTTGGCGGCCGGAGCGAAATTTGTCGGTGTGATGGAACGTGAACGTGAATGGGCGGCGGAGCCCAGATTGTCCATTGGAGATGAATGGTGTGTGCGAACCGACTAAGTGAAAGGAATGAATGGGTCAAATTTATTGCAGTGAATAGCACTCACATGCGTGTTAAACCAAGGTTGGGATGATAGAACAGATTAAAAAAGCGGAAGAGATAGACAGCCAGAAAGATAGGCCCATAGCCTGGCGCTCTAAATGCAGTTGATTACCGAAGAAAACAACAATGTACTTGTGGTGTTATACATAGGAATCGGGGGGAGATAACACGGTTAACACGTGTGTGGTGAACGCAGTGCACGCATGGAAATTCCAAACGAGTCCAGCAGAAACTGTGCGGAACAAACCGTTCGAAACAAAACAGGCGCCAAGGAAGCAGCATGCAGACGTAAACGCCAAGTAATTGTAATACAAAACATCACCATAAAACAGCGCTGCTGACTTCGTGTTTTTGTGGCAAACCAGTGGAGCGAATGGGTCAGGCAGGAGTCGGTAAACATGTCCACACGAACAGATCTGCACACACATACAAACACACAGAGGACTACTGAATTCCGTTCGGCCAGTCATGTTTGATCCGAGTGCCGAAGCGAAAAATGACAAGGGTGGAAAAAGTCACGAAAAACATAAACAAAAGCTAATTTTGTTGTGAATCCATCGCTAAACGCTAAATTCGACTAAAGCAGGGACGGGGAGGACCGAAGAGAAGGGCAGCGCTATTGACTTGTGTTGACATATCAATGTCAGAACCGATTGTGAGCTGCAGATATAATCACCAGTAGCGAAGTCCTCATCGGAAAAGACGAAGCACATAAAATTCGACCGAATTATTCCACCATAGCAAAGCTTGACCACCCTGAATTAACTTGCAAACAATCCGAGTGCAGGCACACAATCCACGCGGGAGTAGATAAGCGGCCAGTGTGCGGTAAACGTGAGCCAAACTAAGCGAAACAGGTGAGATAAGTGCGAGGCACGATCACACCCAGATCACATTTAAATGGTACCTGGACAGAATGACCGATACGAACAGTTGCATTCATAAGATACCGAGGAAATGGATACATGGACATACGATGTCATCGTCCTGCGTTGCACAAAAGTGCCGAGACATTGAAAGAATGTTCCGTTTGGCCGGCTGGCTCTTTGATAAGCTGCGGGACGGCCGATGCAGGATATGGTTGAAGTTGGAAGGAATTAGTCATGGTTGTGTTTTTGGCAAATGTAAGGGGGGCGTAAAGCTCGAAGTGGGCAAAAATTAACTTGGCAGCGGCAAATGAAGTCACTGACGACCAAATTCGGTGCCGCCTTCCGAGCTGGAGTCCACGTGACCCGCCTGGAGTCATTCCCTCCCTCATATGGTTCTTCGTTCCGGAGGTCACCGTGGTTGTACGGCAGCGAAGTATCAGTTCAGATAGCTGATGTACTGCTGATGCTGATGAGAAATTGGCTCCTAACCCTAAAATACTAGTGGTCCAGTTAGCGAAACGGAAATTGTTTTGCTGGTAACACGGAAACGTACAAACTACGAACCCCATGATAAATGAAGACAGTGGATCGCGGACATACAGAAAGCTTCTGGGACAATGAAGGGAGGTCCGAATGAGAACAACCGGATGGCAGTTCAGATAGACTCGGAGCTCGAACAATGAGACCAGCCTACTGGACGCGAGGAACAGAACGAACAAAGTGTTAGGGAGACAAGTATTACACAAACATATTTTGGAAAACAGTCTTAGTGACCGATTTGTTTTCTTCAACTATCGATGTTAGTGACATTTCTGTAAACACATCATTCCGCTAATTTTATTCGTTGCTTGTGGCCACTGTTTTTGCACTCTGAGCGCAATGTCACTTGGCTGCTAACACTCTATCTTTTCGTAAGCGCGTGTCAATTATTGGTTCCTTTGTTGATCCCTCTCCATTGGCTTCATTTTGCTTACAAGCTCTTAGCAATATGGTTGGCTGAAATGACTTTTAGTAGCTTCTCTTCAGACCATACTTAAAACTATTTAAACAGACATGAATCAATGTATACGGCTCTTTTCCGGCACGTTTTTGGAGTTCTTCTTGCGATCGTGGGGTGAAGGAGTCAGCTGCGACACAACACAAAAGAAGATTACAGCGCGCAGGTGCACGTGATCCCTTAGCTCGCACGCATAGCCCCGGAATCCGAAGATGCGAAGAGTACAAGCAAAACACAACACTAGCCGAAATTGGCGTGGAACACTGCGTAATCCATTACAAATGTAGCCTCCACGGTCCGGGGCCGAGAGTATGACGAGTGTGAACGATGTAGTCCGAAAATTTGAAGGAGGCAAAGCAGATCAATAAACTGAAATGTTGTGACTCGGTGAAATGTAAATCGGCCATCAGTGTACAGCAACCATTCGAGTCGATGTAAACAGATGCAGCGCAAAGCGCACGTCATGATAAACGCCGTCTTGCACCGGTAGTCAGTCTGGTACGAAAAACCGCATCAGCTGGAGAGTGAGACAGTCTAACCGCCTAGAATGACTCTTACGGGTACAAATATGCGAGGCTGGCGAAAAAGTGGGTATATATATATATATATATATATATATATATGCATCCGGTTTCGGATTTGCCTGTCACTGTGGTCAGCCACAGGACGCCTGCGCCCACAGAAGGACCATAGGTGGCTTGCGTTGCACCACCCACAGCCCCAACCACACCCCATATCCAGTGTAAACCCGGACGAATAAGACCGGGAGGCATACGGATGGGAGCCACGCTACATTAACGGAGCCGTCCCACACTCCTTCACAGGCAAACAAAAGCACGCTGTATTTGGGCATCAAGTGCACACAGGGCGGTGGCTGGACCGTAGTCCGCACCGCACTGAGTGCATGGAACCGCTGTTAGAGCCTAGCACGGCCAAAAAGATCGTGCACCCAGTCCCCTCCAGCAACGACCAACTGTCTCGTGGAGCCAGTATGGCCAAGGTGGTGGGTAACAGACAGAAAGGCACCTCGTCAACATGCACACCAAGTGCAGCCACACCGAGGATATCACTTGAAACGACGAAATCCAATCAAATAAACCGAATAATGCATACAGATATTCTGAGAAACTATAATAAATGATCATAGGAAATAAACTGGTTACAAACAAATCCGCAACGAGTTCAAGACAGCAGAAAATATATTTTAAGAAAATGCTACAAACGCGAAAATGTTATCGAAGTTAATTAAAGTGTACAAGTTTATAGAAGATAGTTCAGGTACACTTAATACGAAGTAAAAAAAGCATTAGGACAATACACCAAACCCACCACCTGAAATAAAGAGACTCGGCATGAAAATAAGCGGTTTGGAAATCGGATATATATATATATATATATATATATATATATATATATATATATATATATATAAAGCAGTTAGTTTCCTTGAACAATTTGAAAAGCACGGAAAGAAGACAAAGACTGGTAGATGCATGCATTTCGTATTGTCTCCTCAGTACCATTAACAATAACCGATAGGCATAGACATAGCTAACAGTGGGTACAACCAGACAAGCTTAAGGTGCAGAACGAATGACGGAAATTCACACCTACGTCCAAGACAGCTTTAGGCTGACAAATAATTGTTTCCGAACACACAAGGCTGGCTTAATCCGGCTTATAGCGACAGCCTCAGCAAACCGAAAGAAGCGGGGATTAGTGTGACGTAACACAACTTTAAACGCTGAGCCCATCTCTATCCGGTGACCCGAGTCTAATAGGTGTTTGCCTATCGAGGAAGCAGGCGGTCTGCGCGAACAAGGAATCTGACGGGGGCAGGCAATCTGAGCAATTTAACGTTGAACCCATCTTAGTACATGTTCCCTTATTCGGGACGTCAGCGTTCTTTTAGTTCTGCCTATGTAACTGTTTCTGCAGTCACATACAAATTGGTATACACAGCTGAGCTTCCTTCGTTGGAGGTATGAGCAAATTTCGGGTTCGGTTGATGACGACAGCTTGTGTAGCATAGTAACTTCCCTGTGTAGCCGAAATTATGCGCTTAGTTGTCTTCAGCGTGGTTAAGTCACCTTTGAAAGGTAAGCCGAGTGACACGAATGTCCTGAGGCTTTATGAATTACCGAAAATTGAAACAATTAGTTCCCGAGGAAACTTTTAGCAGAAAAGTTAACACAAGAGTGCCGCACGATTTAATTCCGGAATAATTTCTCTGCATATTTTCAAGTACGCACTTGAAAATATGCAGAGAAATTATTCCGGAATTAAATCGTGCAGCACTCTTGTGTTAACTTTTCTGCTAAAAATTACCGAAAATTCATAAGACAGATGTCCCACTTCGCCCGATCTTATCAATGGTTAACTTACCCTACCATGAAGTCGCCCAATGGCTTGTGGAAATGCTAGAGTCAATAAGACAGCGACTTAAATACTACAGCCTGTGACACCCTTCATTTCATCGAAAGCATCAAAGACCGCAACATCGGTAGGAAAATAATGTTTCCTTGGATGTTGTATCACATTTCACCAACGTGCCACTTTTTGAGACGATCGATTACTATTGCTTCTACATAGAAGAAACAAAAACAAGTATATGCATACCGTCGCGTGCCTTGAAAAGCCTCCTGCGTTGCGTTTGGAACGTACAGTTTCTATTCAATGGCACTTACTATCGACAAAAGTGGTGTAGCTATGGGATCGCCATTGGGTCCGTTGTTAGCTGATGTCTTCATGGCGAAATTAGAGAATACCAAGTTACAAGCGGAGATCACGACCTTTGAATGTTACCACCGCTTTATGGACGCCATATTTGTCGTGGCCGACCAGTCTGTTGACGTTGACGCTGTTATTGACTGTTTTAATCGGACCCACGCATCATTGCAGTTCACTTACGAAAAAAAATTGAACGATCAGTTGCCCTTTCTTGATGTGCCGTTAACTAGAAGGGCAGACGGCTCACAACAAAGACAAGTTACCGACGATAAGCGCTTCTATGGTGATTTATCAGTTAGAGTACGCCTGTGTCGCAACTTACGTCGGTCGAACGACGCGGCAACTGTCGAAACGCAT